TGGGAGGGGGCGGGGGCGCGAGGCGGTCTCTCTACGACGTCAAAAAGAGGGGAGGCTGCAGTTCCATAATTCAGGCGTGTCACTGCAGCGGAAATGTGCCCGCCTTTTGGCTCTCCTGCCGCCCGGCCGCCGCCGCCGCCGCCCCCGCCCTGCACCGCCGCCACCACCAACACCAGCCCCTTTATTTGTCTGGTCTCGCGGCAGAAACCCTCCAAACGATGTCGCAGCCCAGACTCGCGCAGCAGGACGATCCTAGAGCTCCCCCGCAGCGGCAAAACAAGTCTACAATTTTAACGAATAGTTAGAAATTTGGTAACACCTTACTGTTGAATTTCTATTGTAAATTGTAGGGTACCAGAAACCTAGGTGGATGTATACGCCAGACCACGTCTCGCGTAACAGGCTTTGCGATATCCCACGAAACCCCGATACGCTGCGACGCGCCTGGCATACATCTATCTCCTGACACCCGAGTCGGGCAAAAGGCCTTCGGCCTGAATAGTCACAAATTTTAGTTCACAGAGTTTTATTTTGACGAGCTACCCCAAAGGAGACCATCAAAATCTGAGGGGAAACATTAAAATGTTTTGGGTCCATTTCCGTGTGGTAAACTCCCTCACCACCCAAACGCTTAGTGATAGAGCCAAACGGACGAAATTTTGGTACTTCGGGTTCTCCTATCAGCAATATAGTCGATGCTTTCTAAATCGCCCGTTCTTATCTTGGCCAATTTTTGAGACAGAGGGCTCAAAAACAGTACAGTTCTTGACTTTATGACATAAAGTTTCCCTAATGATTCAGGTACCTACCTCAAACCAATCTCTAGTTATCGTGATTAGAGACAAACAGACAGACGACAAACTTTTTGATGACTGGAGAAAAAGGCTTCGATACCGCTCAGCCAACAGCAGGATCAACAAACACAATAAATGAATAGTTTTGTAAGTGTAAATTGCACTGTTTTGTGTTCTATTTTCTTGGTCTTGGTTCTTCTTCTCTTTGCTCTTCCTCTTCTCATGCTTCAAATCTCCCAGCCTGAAATGGTCCATAACTAACCCCTTTCCCCCCTAGTCATTGTTCCATGGAGCTTGCCAAGATCTGCCGCAGACGTTCTAGTTTCCCCAGAGTGACCCCTTAAGACCCCTTCCATCCGTTCAAGTCATTGCCTCGACCCATTGCAGTGCTGAAACACATTGCATGACCGATATAGCTGACTCAATGTAGCTTTTTTCCAAAGCGGGCGGGGGCGCAAACTTGAGAGACTGAGGATCGAAACTTGTGCAAAAATAATTTGCCTGTCCGGACGTGGGGGCGGAGGCCAAGCGGGGGCGGCGGGGGGCGTGCACCTGCACCCACTGCGATAAATACTGCACGAGCCTGCGCCTGCTCCGTGGTGGTGGGGAGGGGAGGGGGGAAGGTGAGCCGAGTCCGGTGAGCGTAGCAGCGAGTCCTCTCCCACCCCCGCCGGGCAGGGCGAGGCGCGACCCGAGCCGACACCCACCCGTAGGCCCGCAAGGGGTTAGGCGGACGCTGACGCCAACCTTCTCGACCGCTCTACCTGGTGTTTGGGGTGCTGGGCTGGGTGTATGTATTGGTACACCACCAGGAAGAGGTGTGGATGTGCGGACACGGCCGTCGAGAGGGAAGTAGCTGCTGACAAAAAATTCGCAGATGTCGCATATTCTTCATAAAGCGCCCACCGGTATCATTGCACCCTTTTCACCATACAGAAGGCTTAATTATTTCCAGTTTATTTTGCAGTGTAGCGATTTGGGTCGGCGTTGGCCCCCTCTCCTCCGCACCCCTCTCCGGGCTACCCCTTCCCCCGCCCGCGGCCCTCTACCCCTCTCCGGGCCCACCCTCCCCCCCGCCCAGGCCGGAGGCAGGCCGGGGGTGGTGGGTGGCGGGCGTGGGTGGGTGCGCGGGCCCCAGCCTGCCCCAGCCGTCTTCCCCGGCCCGGCCCGGCCCCACTCGGCGGGTTGCCAGCGGAGCTCCACGGTACGAGCCGAGGGCAGAGCCTGGCCAGTCGTGCTCGAGCCGCGTGCCGGTGTGGTCGTCCGAGCGCGCGCCGCCCCCGCCCCGCCCCCGCACCGCGGCCAGCACCGCGGCCAGCACCGCCAGCACAGCGCCGCCGCGCAGGCCCCGCGTCCACGGTGTTGTTCGCGTGCACCGGGAGCGGTCAGGCTCCGCGGCATCGGCTCCCGGGGGGCTGCTCTTGGTGGCGGCGCGGGCGGCGCGGGCGGCGCGGCGGTCCTGCAGCGGGGGGGTGGTCGGGCGCGAGGTCGCCGCCGATGACACCCGGGACTCGGCCTGCCCGCCGGGCCTGAACGCCACCTCCAAACCTCTCCGAACGCACGTGGCTGTTTCCGCCCCGCCCCACCGCGCCCCACCTCGCCCCACCGCGCAGCGCACCGCCCTGCCCTGCAGCTGGCGCAGAACCCCACGGTGAGTGCCGGCTTGGCGGATCCGTCTATCCCGCCCAGAAGCAGCAGCAAAGCTCGAGCTCGGCCCCTGGAGCTCGCCTGCGGATCCCCAATTGGATAGGAAAGTTGCGCGCTTTCTGAATAACTGCGGGAAACACTACTCCACGAGTTTCACCTAGGCTCCACTTGCATGTAAAACTCTGTGCCACAGAGTCCCTTGCTTTGTCGGTTCAATGTGAGTGTCCGATGTACAGGAGTTTTTAGAATACCGTAGGTACTCTAACAAGTAGGGGAGCGTTGCCACCCGAACTCTATCCGAAGTGGACCCGGTGTAAGTAATTCGTAGTCGAGCTGTGCCTGTGACGAAGTGCATCGGTATGAAAAATTTATCGCCCGGATTCATGACAGGTGCGCCGGATTATGAGGCTGCTGTGCCACCCAGAAAACCGTTTAGGCCAGGCGGCCAAATTCAGAACCGACGAAATTTTGCCTTCATGTGGACTAGATTTTAATCGCGCTAATAAAAAAGATCAGTCAAATTACCTTAGTCTTGATGGACGTGACCGACTTTAGTTAAAAATTAAGGCACTAAATCGTAGTTGCTTTCAGCAGTGAAATTTTGCTTCCTGCGACCCTGATTTGGTCGATTCATTTTTAATGGTTCTCTGGTTGTGATTGCGGTTGAAGTAATAGTACACTGTCTGCAAAATCTATGGCATTTCACGAGTAGTCGTGAATGAAGCTGAAAATGTCATTTGTGATTCGCCATAACGGCGTCCGCAGTACGCAAATACCTCGCGTTTTCAACGTCGACAATGAAGCCTTTTAACTGTCGAATTAGGCTTGTAGATGTGGGTACTGACATCATACAGGCGTGCCCGGGCGTGCTACAGGGATCTTTACAACCTAAAACCACTTCAAAACTAGACAACGAAGTCCGCTGGGTATTTCCAAAGGCGAATCTTCGTGAAATCCCGAGAAATTTCCTACACAAAGTGTATGTAAGTTTTGTTGGTGGACGCCACGTCCTGGAACCGGAAGTGGCTCGTCCGCTCCGCAACAACTGGGTGGGCAGCAGCACAGCGGTGGCGCTGTGTTGATGCTTGTAATTTGCTATGATTTATCGATCACTCGCCAAGGATATGAGAAGGAAAACGCGCCCGGCCGCGGCATCGACTCGTGGCGTTTATTTGGGATAAAGCAGACACGAGTCGGACAGCAGGGTTGTTAACGATACAAAAAAGAAAGTATCGCGATACGTTGCGATAATTTTCAATCCGAGTTATCGTATCGCGATACAATACACCTCTGTTCAAAAATGTAACGCGTTACGTTTCGATAATCGTCGTAGCATCGTTACGATACGGTCTCAAACAGAAACAAGCTACGCCCGCCCTTCCGCCAAACTTCGCTCCGCAGGCAACTCCGTTCGGCAAGGCCGGGCCTAGCTTGGCCCGCCGGCAGCGTTTGGTCGGGCCTTCGGTACGACCTTTAAGTCACTATACACATTTAAGTAAACTAAGGCTGCCGGCGGGCGGGCCTCCTCCCCTAAAGATTTGCTCAGGGTCACAATGTTCGGGTTATTCAGTGTGAATTTCGACTTTTAACGTGCCCAAGTTAGTCGTGGCCTTTTTCGCAATTTATTGAGCAGTCTCTGGCGGTGGACCCCCAAGTGAACCAGCAGCTGTCATGTCGGTATCTGGACATGCAGGCCGGATGGACGGGGGGGTTGGAAGGGAGGGGTAGGAACGGCTAACAATAAGTGCCAGAGAAAATGTTAAAGAACCAAAAACACGAAATGTATACACTTCTGGCGGGAACAAGTTTTTGCTGTGTCCAAACAGATCAACAGGGATCATCCGACAACCGACGTCGCTGGAGTTCGAGATCACAGGTCCCTGAAGAGTCAGACGCGCGTTCGATCACTCACCCGGTCGCTCCTCACTTCTCGCTCGTGCAATGGGAAAATTTAGTCTCGACTCGTTTGCCCTTTCTTTGCCACCCTAGCCGCCGGCACCACGGCCAGCGCACGCCCCGCGTGTCCAGTGCCCCCCACCCTCCCTCCCACGCGCGCGCGCACGCACACAGACACACACACATACACATACATGCGCGCACACCGAGGGGACAATAACTCTGGGCATCATGCGTGTGCACCGGCCCTAGAATCATGCAGGAATCACGATGGGAATCAGCGGGGATCCAGTGATTCCAGGAATCAGGTGTACAATTAAAGTCGCAGTTATCACCCCCTCGGCACACACTAACTGGATTTGTATCTTTTATCTGTCCGAATTGAAGCAATAACATTTTTTGCACACATTTCTGCGTTGATTTGAACACTTTGGTGCATTTCATCTCTAGGAAATCATGTTCTTCGGCGTACAAATTTGTGCGAAACGAAACGTAGGTTTAACTTAGTGCGAACGTTTGCACAAAAAACATGCAAATACATTAAACGGGCACACACGCTCACACTAGAGATGAGCAAACATGTTCGCATTCGATTGAACTCGAACGCACATCGAGGTCTTCGTGGTGTTCGGTTTGTAAATGTTCGAGTACTACAGTAGGCGCTCGCTATAGTTCCGCCTC